ATTGTGCCCCAGAAACTCAAGTACCTAGGAATCAGCTTAACTAAGGAAGTAAAGGACTTGTACAAAGAAAACTACAAAACGCTACTTCAGGAAATAAAAGAGGACATGAGGAAATGGAAAGACATCCCCTGCTCATGGGTCGGGAGACTTAACATTGTCAAAATGGCAATACTACCAAAAGCACTGTATAAATTCAATGCAATTCCTATAAGGATACCCATGACATTCTTCAAAGAAATGGAGCAAACACTCCTGAAATTTATATGGAACAATAAGCCCCCACGAATAGTTAAAGCAATTCTTGGGAAAAAGAAAATGGGAGGAATCAAACTCCCTAACTTCAAACTTTACTACAAAGCAGTAATAATCAAAACAGCATGGTACTGGAACAAAGGCAGAACTGCAGACCAATGGAACAGGGTTGAATACACTGACATCTCCCCTCAATCATATGATCATCTAATCTTTGATAAAGGTGCAAGAAATGTGAAGTGGAGTAAGGAAAGCCTCTTTAACAAATTGTGCTGGCATCACTGGACGGCTACATGCAAAAAATGGGCTCAGAACTCTGCCTAACACCATGTACAAAGGTAAGATCAAAATGGATTAAAGACCTCAACATCAGACCAGAAACCATAAGGTACATTGAAGACAAAGTTGGCAAAACCCTCCATGACATTGAGGCTAATGGTATTTTCAAAGATGACACGCCACTGGCCGAGCAAGTGAAAACAGATATAGATAAATGGGACTATCTTAAACTAAAGCTTCTGTACCTCCAAAGAAACAGTGACCAAAATACAAAGACAGTCTACAGAATGGGAAAGAATATTCGCCGAATACACATCTGACAAGGGGTTGATATCAAGGATATACAAAATACTGGTTGAACTCCACAAGAAGAAAACATCCAACCCCATCAAAAAATGGGGCAATGAAATGAACAGAAACTTTCTCAAAGAAGAAATCCGAATGGCAATAAAGCACATGAGAAAATGCTCTACATCATTAATCATCAGGGAGATGCAGATCAAAACCACAATGAGATACCATCTCACACCTCAGAGACTGGCCCACATTCAAAAGAACAAAAGCAACCGTTGCTGGCATGGATGTGGCGAGAAAGGGACACTCCTTCACTGTTGGTGGGAATGCCTACTGGTTCAGCCCTTTTGGAAAACAGTATGGACGTTCCTCAAAAAATTAGAAGTTGAGCTCCCATTTGACCCAGCAATACCACTCCTGGGAATATATCCCAGAGAGGCAAAAATATGTAGCCGAAGGGACATCTGCACTTGTTTGTTCATTGCAGCACTCTTTACAGTAGCCAGAAACTGGAAGAGACCTGAGTGCCCAAGAACAGATGACTGGTTAAAGAAACTTTGGTACATCTACACAATGGAGTACTATGTAGCTCTTAGAAAAGATGAAGTCATGAACTTTACATACAAGTGGTACAATATGGAAAGTATCATGCTAAGCGAAATGAGTCAGAAAGAGAGGGATAGACATAGAAAGATTGCATTCATCTGGGGGATATAAAATAACAAAATATGAGATTAATACCCAAGAATAGCTGAGATCAACACCAGGAGGATTACTCCATAGCTTAGAGGCCAGCCTGGTATTCTAGGGGAAAGGACAGTTCAGATGGAGAAGGGAACACCAAATGGAGGGTGTTTGGAGAATCCTCCCAGGAGGGGAGATGCAGGTTGAAAGTAGACTGGACTGAACATGTTTGCCACTCAATGCCTCTTTTGCTGATCACAACACCCAAAAGGAGAGAAAGAACAAAAGGGAACGCCCTGCCACAGTGGCAGGGGGGGATGGGGGGATGGGGGGGTAAGGGGGGAGGGATATTATCCTGGTGGTGGAAAATGGGCACTGGTGGAGGGATGGGTATTTGATCATGGTATGACCGAAATCCAAGCACAAAAATTTGTAAATCTACAACTGTACCTCGTGGTGTTTCACTAATAATAATAATAAAAAAATAACACTAGAATTGGGAAAATCCGTGGAACAGAAAAATTTTGATATGTACAACTGAGTTACCATAAAATGAAAATATTATAAACATATCTAATCTTTATTTTGTTACTAATAATTTCTATAGTCTTTTTCCTTAATGGTTTTGAAAATATTGTTTTTACAGATGGTCTGTAAAGTAAAATGATGCAAACAATTAAAAAAAAAAGAGGCACTGGAAGCAAATGCAATATCTTGGAGCTTGTAGATAGTTCAACCAGATAAAGCCTAAGAACTTTGGCTGTATTTCCACTGCCCTGAAATCATAAACCATCCCACATTAATAACTGCTTGTTCAATGAATGACTGACATTTCATCTTGTAATTCGTCTTAGTGCAAGAATGTGGGAGTCATTTGGAACCGTAATTATGTCATTCATATCATCTCTTCAAATTTCATGGTGTCATATTGAATATGTTCTGACGAATATATTTTATGAAAACTCTTTCAGCCAGGTTGATGTGTCTAGGCCCTGGTCTTAGAAAGATGAATATAGGCACTGATAAATGTTCATAATCATTATAAGATTTACATTGATACTTTTTGGGAAGAACACAATAGTAAATGAGAGAACCAGAGAGATAGTACTGTAGGTAGACTTGATATGGCTGACCCAGGTTTGGTACCTGGTACCACCATATGAGCACTACCAGGAGTGATTCATAAGCAGAGTCATTAAAAAGTTCTGAGCATTGCTGGGTGTGGTCCCCAAAACCAAACCAAAAAATTGAGGAATATGCATTAAGTGTTCTTCTTCTCTGATTTCCACATTTCTTAAAAGGAAATAAGCATGTAAATAACCAAAAGCAGAAGTGATAGTTTCATGTATTTTTGAAACATAAATAAGCTAGTCATTTATTTGGCATTTTTTCCCAATTAAGCTTTTGCTAACAAAATTCAGTAAAAGTATATACATATATATGTATATATACGACTAACTTTGATCCAGATATCATTTTTTTATTTTTGAAAATAAATACATAAATATTGAAATTGATAATCAACTTGAAAACAAAGTACAATACATGAGACATCTTCAGAATCCCCAAAGTCAACAGAGATAGCAAGATGCTAGGATAAGGATTTAGGTAAGAGTCAAGGACTCACATAGTCCAGCTCAGTTGGCATGAAAATCTCAAACACAGTAGCATGGGCCCAGGGACTCTGCTTAAGCCAGAAAGACAGGAAGCCAGGGTGAGAAGGAAAATCATCCTTGAAAAGAAGTAGGAGGTAAATCTAAATCTTAGGATCTACTTGGTTAGAGATATTCTGGCTCTCTGTAGTTACTTTCTACTAAAATCCTGAAGGACTGTCGCTGGAGAAATGTGAGCTCTCTCCCCCAAACTTACAAGGAAATAAAAAGATAATTAGCAAAGATGTGGAAAATAAGAAAGCCCTGGGCTCTATGATGGAAATGTAAAATGATAACACCATGGTGGGAAAAGTATGGAGATTTAAAGACATTAATTATCCTGAATATAGTTAAAATAATGATCCCCAAGAGATTTCTATACTTATGTTTATTGAGATATTATTCACAACAGTCAAAATATGGAAAAATTCAAATACCCACAGACAGATGAATGGGTGAAGACAACTTTTCTACACAAGTAAATGTATGTATAATCAAATGTTGTCAATTTTTAAACAGAAAATTCTACTATGTGCAAAAAAAAGCATGGATATTGAAGAGATTATGCTGAGCAAGTGTTAGTGACTGGAAAAGCAATATTGTGTGAGCACAAATATTGGGGTAATCAAAATAACCACATTCACAAATAAAAACATTGGAGTTATCAAAATAACCATATTCACAAATAAAAACGTTAAAAACAAAAAAAAAGTTAAAACTTTCCAAAGTAGAAGGAAATGTCAAATGATTTGATGGATGAGTATAAAATGGAGTCTACACCAGGAGTAAATTTCAAGCATCTTTGTACAACATAGTATATGTAGGTAACTTAGAATGTTCTTAGAATGTATTGTGAAGGCCAAATAGATATTATAGTGGGTAGGGCTCTTGTCTTATGCTCAGCTGACTTGACTCCCAGCACTGAATATGATTCCCTGAGTGCTTCCAGGAGTGATTCTTGAGCATGAAACCAAGAATAAGGCCTGAGTAAGCACTGAGTGTGGGCCAAAAAACGAAAAAAAAAAGTGTTATGATTTGGAATATATGCTGCGTATGTTTGCCATGAAAAGAGCGGGGGCACAAATAATTGAGAGGTGGTTATTATTACCTTATTGTTATGATGTATCAAAGGTGTGTGATATACCTTACCTCATCAAATTGTAACACTTTAATAAAGTTTATACTAAAATATACATAAATAAAATTGAAATGCAGTATTTTAACAGCTTATTTTTCTCCTTCAAACTGTTATTTATTTACCGTTAGAGATGATTAGGAAGGAGTCATGGGTTAGAGTGGAGAAAGGGTTATGCCCTCATAGACTTATTTTTTTTATGCAAGTTATCCTGATTTATACTCAAACCTTTTCTGTCCATTGGACAATAATGAAGGAACCATCATTGGATTTCAAGTCTCTATTCCCATTTACCAAAGGAACGGATATGTAAAGCCTCTGCATCACCTAGAGTGGAAACTATGTCTCACCTAGAAGAGACCAATGTCTATCACCTAAGGCAGAACAACAAGTGACAACATTTCTTAAAATAAGAGCAAAAAACAAAAAACAAAAAATCACAGGAAGGTGATTCACAAGGACTGAAGGAATGGGAAACAGTTTTTCCTATCCAATCTTGAAATGCTTAACCAGGAAAACAAACTTGCTTAATTTGATAATAGCCTATCCATTGGGAGAAACAGTGACAAGGAAATGGAGGTTCTTCCAATGACAGCAAGCCCCTTAGCAGGGTATAAAAGGGGAGGTGGGGGCAGGAGACTCCAAACTTCTCAATCCACTCCATCTTCCTGGAAACCCACCCAGAACCTCCTCCTTCTGACACCATGGTCAACTCGTGTTGTGGCTCCGTCTGCTCTGAGCAGAGCTGTGAAGAGAGTTGCTGCTGCCAACCCAGCTGCTGCAGACCCCACTGCTGCCAGTCTGTGTGCTGCCGCCCCAGCTGCTGTGGTTCCACCTGCTGCCGCCCCTGCTGCTCCAGCTCCAGCTGCTGTGGCTCCAGCTGCTGCCGCCCCTCTTGCTGCATCTCCAGCTGCTGCCGCCCCTGCTGCTCTAGCTCCAGCTGCTGTAGTTCCAGCTGCTGCCGCCCCAGCTGCTGTATCTCCAGCTGCTGCCGGCCCTCTTGCGGTGGCTCCTCCTGCGGTGGCTCCAGCTGCTGTAGACCCACCTGCTGCATCTCCAGCTGCTGCCGTCCCTCTTGCGGTGGCTCCTCCTGCGGTGGTTCCAGCTGCTGCCGCCCCACCTGCTGCATCTCCAGCTGCTGCCGGCCCTCTTGCGGTGGCTCCTCCTGCGGTGGTTCCAGCTGCTGCCGCCCCAGCTGCTGCATCTCCAGCTGCTGCCAGCCCTCTTGCGGTGGCTCCTCCTGTGGCGGTTCCAGCTGCTGCCGCCCCAGCTGCTGCATCTCCAGCTGCTGCCGGCCCTCTTGCGGTGGCTCCTCCTGCGGTGGTTCCAGCTGCTGCCGCCCCAGCTGCTGCATCTCCAGCTGCTGCCGTCCCTCTTGCGGTGGCTCCTCCTGCGGTGGCTCCAGCTGCTGCAGACCCACCTGCTGCATCTCCAGTTGCTGCCGTCCCTCTTGCGGTGGCTCCTCCTGCGGTGGTTCCAGCTGCTGCCGCCCCAGCTGCTGCATCTCCAGCTGCTGCCAGCCCTCTTGCGGTGGCTCCTCCTGCGGTGGCTCCAGCTGCTGCAGACCCACCTGCTGCATCTCCAGTTGCTGCCAGCCCTCTTGTGGTGGCTCCTCCTGCGGTGGTTCCAGCTGCTGCCGCCCCACCTGCTGCATCTCCAGCTGCTGCCGCCCCACCTGCTGCCAGACTACCTGCTGCCGCCCCGCCTGCTCCAGTGCCTCTTGCTGCTGAGCACCCTCACCTGTGCCCACCTGCACTCTGTCAACCCATCAACCCACTTCCCCATGTAGTTCCACTCTGAGCTGAGTCAAGATGCCTATGGAAAACCCCCCACTCATCTTAAGTTGCGTTTTCCTTCAATACTGAATCCATCAATATTGCTATCACTCTCCCAAACTAATTCAAAGCTCCAATTTTCTTGATTATCAACATTTTGTGATCCCAGCGTAGATGTTTCCTGCCACATTTTTTCATGTGATGATTTTATTAAAAATTAAATAAATTTTAATTTCCAGGCATACAAATAATAAGGTGTGTGTTTCACTTTTATCAGTTGTTTGTGGTTCCTCTTGTCAAATAGTAGATATATCATAGGATTTTAGGATTTCATGTCTATCACCAGTGTTCCTCATTCTGTTGGGGCCTTTCCCAAACAGGGCAATTATTTGGGCCTCACCAATAGTGCTCAGGTATTTGTTTATGGTTCTATATTTGGGGGTCATTTCTAGTGGTGCTCAGGGCTATGTGTTGCCTAGGATAAAACTGTTTTCCACATGCAATGCATGTGCTCAGCTCTTACAAACTTCTCATATAGAGTTCCTGTAGAAGCATGCAGGTAGAAGTATGTAAAAATATATAGAAACAACTTCCCCAGGAAAAGAAGGTGGTTTTCTATGACTGAAGCAGGAATGCCTCATAAAGATGTTCTGATGAACATGCAAATTCTGGGTAGTTCAAACTAGGGGGATTCTAGCCAGGGCAGTGCTCAGCCAGAGGGTGGATAAATGCCCAACTCTTCCCTTGGAATGGGGGAATAAGACAGCCTCAGTAATCCTGATGCGATTGACTCTCAACTGTCTACACTGATGTGCAATCAGCTCATCATTATCTATGCACCTCCATCCCTGAGGTGACCTGGAGACTTTTAAGTATGACACTCAGACTAATACAATATTCTGAATCCCTTATATTGTTTCTGCACCTGAAGACACTCTATGCAAATCACAGTATTATTTCATTCAAAAACATTTTTGCACAATATAAGTATGCGTGTGTATATTATGTCTAAATATACCTGGCATGGGTGAGGTCCTCTTAGTTCCCTGAAGCTCCCTCCACCAAAGTTTCTACTTTCAGGTGACTGACTTCCTTGAGGGATATATGCAAGTTCTGAACTCATGGTTACTATATCCTCCTGTGCCTTCTTTCCAGTGATAATATTAAACATATTATTCCTTCTTCATAGTTTCTTCCTTGTCTTCTCCTGGCTCTAGAAATCACAGTGATAAGGTGACAGCATAATCAGACTATATTAGGTTCTTTGGGGAATTATTTCTTCACCTGCTGCAGGATCATTGATCCACAGGGAAATTACTCCGCCATGGAAGTGGAAAATGGACATTCCCCGGATGAATTACTGGCAATGAAATTGAGGGATAACCACTTTTCAGTCCTTAGTGTATGGTTTAATGGCGTTTCCAGTGGGGAACAGGTTTATTTTAATGCCAATAATCAGTGTCAAATCAGTGTCCAACGCATTCAAATATATCAGTGTTCTAGTTTAATGAAGATGTAGTTTTCTGTGAATAAACATTTATGTACTGGTTATAGGCCTTTCTCTTAGAGAATTGACCTCCTTTAGATGTGTCAGTTTTTTCACGTCTGAGAACTGGCTTGGGTATGGAATTTGGGTGAGAAGATGTGTTTTGATTGAAAAGTTTGACCTCACTCAAAAGGTTTACTCCTTCTTCACTCTTTTAAACACTTAGACCCTCATACCTATACTGACTGCCTGGAGGATTCTATGTTCCCTTATCCATATTGATAGATTTGTGGACACTATTAACTTTGATCCTATTGCCTTTCCAATATTGGTGCCTGTCACAGTATATTCACATATTTCCTGGGGTTAAGTATCGCCTCCCAGCCAGTAATATTTATGGGTATCATCATTCTTTTTGCTGCCACGGAGGACAGTCCCATATCATTATTCTCTAAAACAAGCTCAGATTTCATAGCGTGGGCATCTCCAGGTTTCTTAGTGAAGCTCATTCTTTATCACCATAGCAGACTGTCCCTGAGTCCTCCATTGGAATAACCATTTATTTTATTCTCTGTATTATCACTAGGTACGGTCACGGTCATGGTCCTCCCGTTGTTCATCGATTTGCTCTAGCGGGCTTAGTAACGTCTCCATCATGAGACTTGTTGTTACTGTGTTTGGCATATCGAATATGTCACGGGTAGCTTGCCAGGCTCTGCCGATCACTAGGTACATTATGTACATTATAGCATATCTTTTTTGAGTGGGGAGGGGAACTTTCTTTTGCTCAGGGGTTACCCCTGACTCTGCGCTTAGGAATTACACCTAGCAGTTCTCGAAGGACCATATAGGATCCTGGAGATTGAACCCAGGTTGACCACATGCAAGGCAATGCTCTACCCACTGTCCTTTCACTCTGCCTCCCCATTATAGTGTATCTTACCTCTTTACACCTCTTGTTCTTTCCCTCCTCATCTGTGTGTTGTGTGATATTAAATTTATACTATTGTTGTGTAGAATTACCTCAAACTTAGCAATTTAAAACAGCAAGATTTTATCATCCTATACTTCTATGAATTAGGAATCTAGGCACAGCTCAACTGGATGTCTAAATTAATTGTGATTTGAATATTATGATCAATGTTTTAGGTGCCCTGGGGTCTCCTCTGTCTCTCCTCTTATAAATAATCCACTTCCAGGTTTATTTCTATGCTTTATGATTAGGTCCAGTCCTTGTGGATTGCTGTGGAAAGATTCTCAGTTACTGGCTGTTGTTCACTGGAGACTTCATCCCCTTTGTTCCACAAAGAGCTCAACTACAGAGCAGTGAGTCATCAAAGTCACAAGAGTCAGAATTGAAAGATATTATCTTTTGTTACTTAATCACTTGATGCTGCTTATGTTGTTTGCTACTAGCATATTGTCAACGAATGACGGAATCACATAAAAGTTTATTCACAGAAAACTACACCTTCATGAAACTAGAATACTGATATATTTGAATGCTTTGGACACTGATTTGACACTGATTATTGGCATTAAAATAAACCTGTTCCCCACTGGAAACCCCATTAAACCATACACTAAGGACTGAAAAGTGGTTATCCCTCAATTTCATTACCAGTAATTCATCTGGAAAATGTCCATTTTCCACTTCCATGGCGGAGTAATTTCCCTGTGGATCAATGATCCTGCAGCAAGTGAAGAAATAATTCCCCAAGGAACCTAATATAGTTTGATTATGCTGTCACCTTATCATTGTGATTTCTAGAGCCAGGAGAAGACAAAGAAGAAACTATGAAGAAGGAATAATATGTTTAATATTATCACTGGAAAGAAGGCACAGGAGGATATAGTAACCATGAGTTCAGAACTTGCATATATCCCTCAAGGAAGTCAGTCACCTGAAAGCAGAAACTTTGATGGAGGGAGCTTCAGGGAACTAAGAGGACCTCACCCATGCTAGGTATATTTAGACATAATATACACACACATACTTACATTGTGTAAAAATGTTTTAAAATGAAACCAGTATATTATTGAGATAAAAATATTGCAAGAGGATTGATCTTTAATTGACTCTATAAGACACTGAGGATATTCCGAAGGGCATCCATCAGATGGTAAAACAACTTGTCTTTATTTGATGGGAATTTCTAGATTGTAACTCTCTAATCCCTGAGTTCTGAGTACCCTCCAACTCCAAGTCATGAGAAAATGGAGCTATTGGTCAGAAAGCGTGAATAAATTGGCAGTAGCCAAAATCAATACTGGTGCTTCAGTATCACAGCTCTCTCCATTAGCTAGTGTTAGAAGGATCAACATTAGAGATCTCAAATATGTATGTCCAGCTATTGGTAGCACTGTAGCACTGTCCTCTTGTTGTTTATCAATTTGCTCGAATGGGCACCAATAACATCTCCATTGTGAGACTTGTTGTTACTGTTTTTAGCATATCAAATATGTCCCGGGTAGCTTGCCAGGCTTTGCAGTGCGGGCACAATACTCTTGGGAGCATGCAAGGCTCTTTGAGAGTGGCGGAGTAATTGAACCTGGGTAGACCATGTGCAAGGTAAACGCCATAACCTCTGTGCTATCGCTCCAGCCTATATCTATTTACAAAATTACTCAAATGTGAGTAGAAATTATGAATAGATATGTCCATCAAATTGTAATATTGGATAATGTGCATTAATACCAATTATCTTCATTAAATTATATTACTGGTTTTTTAATGTTGATTTACCACACTGTATTACAATTGTAGTGGTGGTTTGTGTGGTCTTCCTGTAAAATGCTAATTCTCACCCCACGAGCGGCTCTCTGGCACGGCCATGGCACCAGAGGCACACGGACCTAATCCAGAGCCCAGCAGTTTGGGGCAGAAATGTGAATGGACTATGCACTAAACTCTGGCGCCATGCCCCTCCCCCCCCCCGGGAGGGAAAGGGTGTCTGTCTCTTCCACCTTTTTCCCTCCCAGCAGCACGGTGGCCGCCACCTCAGAGCTTATTGGAAAGCCAGGTATGAGCCAGCTGTGATGGGGCAACTGCAGTCTCATGGGAAGTGGGGCGGAACTGGCTCATCCTTCAAGCTCAACTGAGTCCCTGAGTTGCCCCCCACGAGCAGCTTTCTGGCACGGCCATGGCACCAGATGCACAGAAACCAATCTCATAATTAACGGCTCTTGGCAGAAATTCCTCCAGACTTAATTAATAAAATACCAGAAATCCAAACTTGCATGGCCGGTATTACGACCGTGCGACATCATATGGTTTTCATAACCAGCAATAGAAAAAAGATTATTTCACAATGTCTTTTCAGCAGTTCTGATTGTTGGGGGAAAATTCCAAACAATAATGGTGCATCTTTTATCAAAATAATGAAGTAATCAAAGTAGAGAGAGAGTTAAGTAGAAATCATCTGCCTCACAGGCAGCAGGAGGGGCGGGAGAGGGGTATATTTGGGTTCTTGGTGGTGAAAAATAATTACTGGTGAGGGTAGGGGTGTTTGATCATTGTATGACCGAGACTTAAACCTGAAAGCTTTATAACTTTTCTCACGGTGATTCAATAAATAAATAAATAAAATGTTAATTTTCTGAGAGCAGATTTTACATCCCGTTTTGGCCACAGTGACTGGCAACAAGTGACCCTTAAACCATTCACTCAATGAATCTATCTTAACAACAAAGGATAGAGGTCTTCCTTCAAAGCTTCGATGAACAGGATGAAACATAGGTAATTCAGTGTAATTTCATACACCTTCAGCATCAACATAATCTGGTGTCATGTTAGAAAAGGGAGACTTGGGGCCAGAGAGATAATACAGTGGGCAAGGTGTTTGCTTTGCCTTGCAATCAGCTGACCCAGATTTAATCCCAGGTGCCACATATGATCTCCCAAGAACCACCAGAAGTGACTCTAACACAGAGCCAAAAATAAACCCTGAGCACAGCGGGGTAGCACCCCCCCCAAGTCAACAAAAAAAACTAAAAGAAAAGAAAGGTAAAATAAGAGAAAAGTAGTAAAGAAAGGAAAGGGAGAGAAAAGAAAGGAAAAACGAGAAGAGAAAAAGAAAAAAAGGAAAGGAAAAAGAAATCCCGAGTTTGCTCCTTTGTTGAAAATTAGCTGTTCATATACTTGAGACTGTGTCTGGGCTTTAGATTTTATTTCAATGGTGTGATAGTCTGTCTTTATTCCAATACCACATTGTCCTGATTGCTACAGCTTTATGTTCTAATTTAAAGTTGTTGAAAGAAAAAGCCTCCTATTTTCTTTTTTTCCCCCTACTTTAGCTAGCAGGAGGATTTCAATACTCCACATAAGTTTCAACAGCACTTGGTCTATGTCTTTTAAAAATGCTATAAGTATTTTCATAAGACTGCACCAAATCTGTATAGAACTCTAGATAGAATTGTCATTTTGACAATATTAATTCTCCTTAAATAAAGGATGTGTTTCCATTTCCCTTTGTCATATTTTATTTCTTTTTTTAATGATTTTTAGTTTTCTTAATTTTAGGTGCAATTGTGAGTGAGAATTTTAAAAATTTCTCTCTTCTATTTCATTGTTTGCTAATAGAAATGCAGTGGATTTGCGCATTTTGATTTAGTAGCCTGAGACTACTGTATAAGTAAAGAGTATATACAAGTAAATAATATACTCTGTACTTTATGCTTTGTTTGAGTATACATACTTTATTAAGAGTATGAAGTGTAGCAAGAATGTCTTTTTAACAAATGGTGTTGGGAAAATTGGTAAGTTATATGTAAAAAAAAATGAATTCAGACCGCTATCTCACACTTGAACAAAAGTCAATTAAAAATAGGTTAAGAATCTTGATCCCAAACATGAATTCATAAATATTGAGGAAAGTATGAGAAGAACTCTTAATGACATTGAATCTAGAGGCGACTTCAGGGATTTAATGCCCATGACCAACCAAACAGAAGCAAAGATAAGCAGAGAAGACTGCATCAAAGTAGGAGCTTCTGCACCGCAAAAGAAACAATGATTAGAATAAAAGGACATCCTTCAGACTGGGAGAAAATACTTGCCCACCAATAATCTGACAAAAAGCTAATATCCAAAATTATATAAGGCCCTTGTAAAACTTAACAGAAAACAAACAACTGCATCAAAAATGGGGTGAGTGGATGAACAAACAATTCTTTAAAAACACAATGATTACCAACAGATACCCCAAAATGTGCTTTTCATCAATTTTCCTTCAGGGAAATGCAAATCAAAACAACAATGATATATTATCACACACCAGTGATATTAGGATACATAAGAAAGAATAAAAATAACCAGTGTTGAAATGGATATGGGGAAAAAGGAACCTTTAGCCATTGTTGATAGGACTATCAACTGAATCAATCTCTTTTGAAAACCATATGGATATTTCTCAAAAAAACTGAGAATTAAAATTCCATGTGATCCAGAAATTCCATTTCTTAACATGCACCCTAAAAGGCACCAAACACTTTTTTAAAAAAGATATTTGCACTCTTAGTTTCCTTGCAGCAATAGTCACAATAGTCAAGATCTGGAAACAAGTTGAATGTCTAAGAAAAGATGACTGGATAAAGAAACTGAGAATGAAATATATCGTGGACTACTACTGGACTCCAGGATAGAACATTGCAATTTACCACTGATGAAACTGAAAGGTATCATGCTGAGTGATGTCAGTCAGAAGGAGAGGGACAGAAACAGAATGGGTTCTTTCAAGTATGGCAAATAAAGAAACATGGTGTGAGAATAAGAAATAGTCAAAGGCACCAAACTGGGAAGTGGTCTTCAGAGCTACACTTAAAAAGGCAGCAGATGAGCTGTTTGGGAGGGGACCCTAACACAATGAGAGAGATAGGTAGATACTCTGATGGAGGGTGTGGTGTTGAAACATCGCACACATGAAATCCTATCATTAACAATATTATAAATCAGTCTTTCAATGTAAAAAAGAAAGAAATGCATACTTTCAAGATCCACACTGCAATCAGAAATTGGATAGAATTCCAACAACTTATAACAGCCTTCCAGATCATGCTGCTGCAGGAGCCAATTGGACTAAATAGAAATAAGCAAGTAGAAATAACAATTAAATATGTTTGAATTCACTAACAGCCCATCACATTTCAAACTGAAAGAAAGCTTGTGTTATGTTTTCCTAGCCTTTAAGGTACACTGTGAAGACTGGCACCTGATTTTCAACTCCTTACTCCATTGAAGACATAATTTCAATAAAGAATGAGAAATGAAATTCAACTGAGGTTATGTCTTGAAGTATTTAGTAGATAATCTACAAGCAAACATATAACAGACATAAATGCAACCACTTCCCAAACAAATAGACATGGTGGTAGCAAGAACTCTGCAGATAAACTTCCTACCAATTTAGAACATAATTCAAAGTTTGAAACATTCAAGGAAACACATTCCCATGGCTTAGAACCCAACAAGTCCACAAGCTAAAGCTATTCCTTTTTTCACTGCTCAAAACTGACCCACACAATTGTGTTCTCCGGGGGCTGGAGCAATAGTAGCACAGCAGGTAAGGCGTTTGTCTTGCACGTGGCCGACCCGGGTTTGATTCCCAGCATCCCATATGGTCCCCTGAGCACCGCCAGGAGTAATTCCTGAGTGTAGAGCCAGGAATCACCCCTGTGCATGGCCAGGTGTGACCCAAAAAGAAAAAAAAATTGTGTTCTCCGTTAGTCCCATTGCATAATACAACTATGTAGAAAGGATTTCTCTTAGCACTTTTTGGTCACTGGAATAAATGCATAACCTGACAAAAAAAAAAAGCATAGTAACCAATCTCATTCCCAAAGCCAAACACACATGACAACCCTCTGGGACAGAAGATACAAGAGTGTGCTTGAGCATGTGCCAGAAGGTATGAATCAGAAGGAAAAGCAGATAATTACATGCGGAAAAGAAAAATTTGTTTCCAACACGTTTTAGCCATTCCATTGATAGACATTTCTGTGTAATCTGCTAATTATTTCAATATTAGGCAAACAATAACAAGGAAAACATGTCAATAAGCCTGGTATATAAGGACTTGTGGCAAGAGGGGTCTTCCAAACTCCAGAACCTCACATCCTGAAAACCCACCCACCAGAACTCTCACCATGACGGGTTCCTGTTGTGGCTCCACCTGCTCTGAGGAGGGCTGCTGCCAGCCCAGCTGCTGCCAGCCTTCTTGCTGCAGGACCACCTGCTGCACCACCAACTGCTGCTCTGTGCCCAGCTGCTGCAGTCCCTGCTGCCGGCCCTGCTGCAGCCCCTGCTGCCGGCCCTGCTGCTCCAGCTCCAGCTGCTGTGGCTCCAGCTGCTGCCGCCCCTCTTGCTGCTGCATCTCCAGCTGCTGCCGGCCCTGCTGCTCCAGCTCCAGCTGCTGTGGCTCCAGCTGCTGCCGCACCTGCTGCTGCCTGCGCCCGGTCTGTGGCCAGGCGTGCTGCTGCACCACCTGCTACCGCCCCACCTGTGTCATCTCCACCTGCCCCCGCCCCATGTGCTGCGCCATTCCCTGCTGCAGCTGCTGAATCTGTCCCTGTAATTTCTGCCATTCTATGATGTCATTGCAAATACATCAAAATGTTTCAGAGCCAACCTGTGACTGGGAGGTTAGACACTGTCAACTGTTCTTCTGACTTGGCATATAAAATTGGCTTTCAGTTCTTTGAGGAAACAACAGGTGAAAACACACCATCAAAAGATTTAACTAAGGTCAAATGTACCTTTAGACCTCTAAGACTTTCATCGAAATAGACACTCTAATCTGTTGTGATATCATTTTCATATGTTCTTAATAAACATCAATTTTCCTTGATATTGATCTTCTGGTTTGCAATGATTTGGTGTGTGTTTGTCTTTATTATTTCATCCAAGAATGATCTTACTTGAAACTTCAGACCACATGGGCTAAAGCACTTACTGATGCTGGAATTAAGACTCTACTAGTTAGTTATTATATGAAGTAGGCAGTTTTATAAACCCTTTAAGACATGTAAAACATTTACCATAGGGTGGGATACATAATGTAAGCTTCCAATAAACATCATATCTATTATTTTGTTATTGAAACATGACCTTGGGTTGAAATAATATCTTAGCACAGGTTTCTTGTGACAGAATAGCAAAGAAAGTTAGTATAATTGTTTTACTATTCTCCATCACTCAAAACAATAGATGAGTATATATCTCAAATGTTCCATAAAAACTTCAATGAGTTGAGCACCATGAAGTCATCCAAGTTAGAGTTGATTTAGTTCTACTTTAAGTTTATGTGGCCATAAAATTGCACAAATTTGGGCATTTTACTTAATTCAAGTAATTTTTCTTTCCTTCTTCCCTATTTTCAATCCTTCCTTCTCCTTCCTTCCTTCTTTTATCTCTAAGCAAAAAATCCTTTTTTTCAGAACACATACATTTTAAATATCACTCTTTCTGATCTTCTTTAAAATGTTTTACAGAATATAGTCACGTATTTTCATTTAATAAAATTAATCCTTTTATCCTCCCTTCTCTTGTAACTACTAATTATAGGATTCAGGCATGAGATTTAGCATTATACTTTATTAGCTGGAACTAAATCAAAGAACATCGACTTTGCACTATATTCTTTATTATATGAGACTTATAATTTTCTGTTTTTTTTTAAAAGAAAAACTGACATAGAAGATACAGAATGGCATACCGAATCTGAGTAATAGAAGGACAGTTTTTCAGAGTGTAGATAGAGTTTACAGAAGGAGTAACTCTGGATCTGGAATCAGAAGAATAAAGAGTTGTTATTCTTTGGCCAGAAGACTCATAGGGATTTGGGTGAAGACAGTGGTACACAAAACTTCTATGACCACTAACTACAGACACTTATACACTGTATCATGGAGAGTAATGGTGCTCAAAATGGTCCAATACTAATACTGGAAATACTGTGATAGAGAACGTTATAGTAGCAATAATATTACACATGGGAAAGCATGGTTGGACTGATGATTATATGTTCCCATCAGCTTTAACTGAGCAGTAGATGGGTGTAAAATCTTAGCATGCTGAAGGTTGTGTGTTCGCGGGCTTTCTGGATGGCTCTGTCTCACCACCCGCGTTCGGTGCTCTTGAGGCACTGTGTGGCCTGTATCAGGACAGCTGTTGGCCAAGGGCAGACGAAGGAAGAAAAGAGAGCCAGGCTTAGTTGCAGTTTATTTCAATCCTCTTCACTCTTGTCTCTCCTCTAACTCCTTCTCTCCTGGGCCCCAATCTGGAACCCCTTCTCCTTCTGGCTCTGACTCTGGATCTCTGGAGTCCGAGCTCTCTCACTTCTGACTCTGCTCTATCTGAGCTTACATTCTTAGTTTATATAGCAATCACATAGGGTGGTGACACAAAGGTGGGTAGAACATTAACAAATCAACAAAGAGAGGTAAGACCACTCCTCCAGGAGATCAACTCAAGGATAAAGTCTCATCTAAAGAAATTACTCCAGATTACTAGAAGATCTGCCAGGGTAGCTCACAGCTTGCCCTGGGTCCATTCAGTCCCTCATCGGGACTCTGCTTTTGAGGTGCTAGGAACTAAGGGCAACTGAGTCAAGAAAGCAGATACCCATGAGTAAATATTATTTGGAGTCAATCAACTCCAAAGTTATAAATCATAACTGTCTTCCTGTGTCCATAAGGAAAGGACATTGCTTTAAGGTAAACTATTCAAAAGACATAAGGAGAGGAGAAAGGCAATATTAACTTATAATACAAGTTCAGTGCACTGGGATGGGTGTGACTCAATAAACGTAAGATACCTAAGGAAGGACAAAACAGTGTTATCCTACAGCTGGGGATGCATTTTAAGTGAATGATATAGTCACAGGATCTTCCTTTCATTGTTTTAGTTGACCCAAATAAATATGTACCTTTGGAACTTCTTTTCTTTTTTTTTTCTTTCTTTTTTCTTTTTTTATTAGTGAAACACCATGAGGTACAGTTATAGGCTTACAAATTTTGTGCTTGGGTTTCAGTTATACAATGATCAAGTGCCCATCCCTCCACCAGTGCCCGTCATCCATCACCATGGATCCCAGCATCCCCCCCACCCCCCATCCCCCCGTCCCATCCTGCCTCTGTGGCAGGGTATTCCCCCTTGTTCTCTCTCTCTTCTTTTGGGTACTGTGTTTTGCAAGAGAGGCATTGAGTGGCAATCATGTTTGGTCTATAGACTACTTTTAGCATGCTTCTCCCACCCTGGGAGGGTCCTCACAACACCCTTCATTTGGTGCTCTCTTCTCTATCTGAGCTTCCTTTTCACCTAGAACGTGTGGCTGGCCTTCCATTCATGGAGCAAAATTCCTGGTACTAATCTCAGCCATTCCTGGGTGTTAGTCTCCCTTTTTGTTGCTTTATGTTCCCCAGATGAATGCAATCTTTCTGTGTCTATCCCGCTCTTTCTGAGTCATTTCGCTTAACATGATACTTTCCATGTAGTACCACTAAAAGGTAAAGGTAAAGGTAAAGGCCCTCCCGTTGATCGTCGATTTGCTCGAGCGGGCCCAGTAACGTCTCCATTGGAGACTTTGTTGTTACTGTGTCTGGCATATCAAATACTCTCGGTAGCTTGCCGGGCTCTCCGAGAGGGGCGGAGGAATCGAACTCGGGTCGGCCATGTTGGCCGCTTGTAAGGCGGACGCCCTACCCGCTGTGCTATCGCTCCAGTACCACTAGTATGTAAATTTCATAACTTCATCTTTTCTAACAGCTACATAGTACTCCATTGTGTAAATGTACCAAAGTTTCTTTAACCAGTCATCTGCTCTTGGGCGCTCAGGTTTTTTCCAGATTCTGGCTATTGTAAAGAGTGCTGCAATGAAAAAACAATTGCAGATGTCACTTCGACTATACCTTTTTGCCTCTCTGGGATATATTTCCAGGAGTGCTATAGCGGGGTCAAATGGCAGATCAAATTCTAATTTTTTGAGAGTCGTCCATACTGTTTTCCAAAAGGGTTGGACCAGCCGGCATTCCCACCAGCAGTGAAGGAGGGTCCCTTTCTCGCCACATCCGCGCCAGCATTGGTTGCTTTTGTTCTTGTGGATGTGGGCCAGTCTCTGTGGTGTGAAATGATATCTCATTGTGGTTTTGATCTGCATCTCTCTGATGATTAGTGATGTAGAGCATTTTCTCATGTGCCTTTTTGCCAGTCGAATTTCTTCTTTGCGAAAGTTTCTGTTCATTTCCTCACCCCATTTTTTGATGGGGTTGGGTGATTTCTTCTTGTGGAGTTTAACCAGTACCTTGTATATCCTTGATATCAACCCCTTGTCGGATGTGTATTTGGTGAATATCCTTTCCCATTCTGTAGGCTGTCTTTGTATTTTGGTCACTGTTTCTTTTGAGGTGCAGAAGCTTCTTAGTTTAAGATAGTCCCATTTGTCTATCTCTGTTTTCACTTGCTCGGCCAGTGGCGTGACATCTTTGAAGATACCATTATCAACCTACCTAACTTCAAACTCTACTACAAGGCAGTAAAAATTAAAACAGCATGGTACTGGAACAAAAGCAGAGCTGCAGACCAATGGAACAGAGTTGAATATACTGACATTTCCTCCCAAACATATAATCATCTAATCTTTGATAAGGGGGCAAGAAAAGTGAAATGGAGCAGGGAAAGCCTCTTTAATAAACTGTGCTGGCAAAATTGAACGGCGACATGCAAAAAAGTGGGCTCAGATCTCTGCCTAACACCATGCACAAAAGTAAGATCAAAATGGATTTATGACCTCAACATCAGACCAGAATCCATAATGTTTATTGAAGACAAAGTCGGCAAAACTCTCCATGATATTGGAACTTATTTTCAATCTCTACTAGATGGTAAATACTAAGCAAGATGAACTTTCACTAGTTTCAAAAGAGCCATACTCTGAAAGGAAATAACTGACACTAGAATTTTAATTCCCATGAACTCCTTTTAGCAAACCTGTCTGACCAGTGGAAACAAAGACAGTTCTTTGAGGTTAATAGCAGATGCTTGGTAATTAAACAAGGTTGTTTCTCTGATTGCTGTGCCTGTAACTAATATCAAAGGCAAGAAGAGTAACGAGTGCAACAATGGATAAATATTTCTATTTGTTTCTTATGTGTTAAATTCTCCAGAGAAATTCCACATAAAAACTGGAAATTGACTGTCTTCAAGGAGGTGACCTAGGGGTTTGGGAAGAGATATGGGCAGAAGACCTTTCACTTTATCTCTAGTTTTTGTTGTTGCTTTTGAATTATACCTGGCAGTGCTCAGGGCTTACTCTTGAATTTTTTCCCCCAAAAATCACTTCTGGTGGTGCTCAGAAGATCATATACAGTTCTGTAGATGAAACTGAAGTCCACTGCATATAAGGCAAGTACCTTACCTCTTTATTATCTCTCTGACCCTATATATAACTTTCAAAGTGTGATATATACACAGATGAATGATAAGCAAATGTCTATAGTAAAATTTTAAATATAATTACGGGGTGCAATTCCAACCAAGTTGCAGAAAACTGC